TCCCTCCTCTTACCCTCTTTCTCATCTCATACCTTTGCTCTTAACCCTTCTTCCACTCCTTGCATGCTCCTTGTACCTCCCCCACAATTATGGGATGCCAAGCTGTAGCAGGTGAAGGGGAGTGGCAGTGCGCATTTGTCTAAATGGAGTTAACGATGAGAATGATGAGCAGAGACATTCTGCCATCAACTTAACTGGTGCAAAAGACGTGTCGACTAGACGAAATCGTGAAGCTGACAAGTCGCCTACTTCATAGACTACTTTGACTTCGCTGTCGGAGGTGTTGCGGTCATGAGCCTCGCACAGGAACAACATTTGGAGCTCAGGCGCACGACTAGGTCGTTCCTCTCAACCTACCCCTCCCTCCACACACAGCATTAGTGTTGGTGCTGGTTTGTGTTTGATATCAATCAACGAGACGAAGTGAGACCACAATCAAGAGGAAATGGTTGTTATGTGCAACAGGAAGAACATCCGATTCCACCCCCACCCTTTCCTTCTTACACCACTTTCGCCAGTGCCCTCCCCGACTAATGAGTGCATTACTCGACCGCGAAATGCGCTCTCGCATCCCCGAGGCAACGCCGCTGCATGGAGGAGTGAAGGCATGACATCATGAAACATGCGTGCATTTCAGCATTGGACACAGCCCACACATCCACAAAAAAAATAAAATAAAAGAGTTTAGTGTATGCTGTACATTGGTTGTAAGTAAATGCAATCGGCATCCGCGTCAGCCGCAGCATCTTGAATTTGAAGAACAGCCACCCGGATTGCCTTGCTCCACTTCGGAGGGCACGCATTGATCGCCATTGGCAGTCGAATTCGCATCCTCGGCATGGGTGGATGGAAGGGGGTGAGGATTTGTGAAGTCGAAGTCGGTAAACAACTCATTAATCCTCTCAGATGTCAACGTGTGTTTTAAGATCTCCTTGTTATTTTCTGGCACCCTCATTGATCGACGCCCTCCATGCTTGTCGTATATAGCTTGCAGACGCGCATCAGCCAGGGGCATATGTTGGCTGTAGGCGGCAGCGAGAATGATAGGATCGTGCGGATCATGTCTGCCACTGTCCTTGCTGTCGACAACTTTCAGCTTCCACGGTAGGACGGGAGGTTTTAGCTTGAGGCTTGCTACCTCATCCCATTCAACTCCTTTGAAGAAGTCAAGGCACTTTACACCTAGAATATCTATTCGTGTTGTATAATCTTGCCTGAGGCAGGCTATGAAGAACTCTTTAAGGCACGTGGTGGCGCGTGGCACATGGCCTAACATGAGTTCACCTGAAAGCAGCCAATCGCGTACGGAGACGTGCTTGTAAATAATGACGGCCACGAGGATACCCAGACTCCACACATCCGCCTTCGTGGTAATGTCTACTTTGTGCCTCACCTCCGGTGCCATGAAGAGAGGTGTTCCACCAAAATCAATACGTCTTGGCGCTCCTGTCGCAGCAGTCATGTCGTATGCGCTGTCGAAATCTGTGATGAAGACGTGACCCGAGTCATCGAGGAGTGTGTTTTTCGGTTTCACATCCAAATGCACGATTCCGATGGAGTGAAGATGCTCCAAACCACTGATAACTTCACAGGCATAAAAACGTGCCTCCTTCTCACTGAGAAGGCCAATGATTTCAATGAGATCTCGCAGATCGAAGCCACATCCCTTACGCAGAACTAGAGCAGGTGAACCACAGATGCGTAGACTCTCCAACAAGGTTCCTACGAATGGCGATTGCTTCCTTGCCCGAGCAATCCGCACAAGTATGTTCCGCTCTCGAAGAGCACATTGAATGGAGGAGTCGTTTTGCAGGTAGTACCGCTTCAGTGCCCACGTCGTGCTGGTGATATTGTCGTTGCCCTGTGTGTAGCCTACCTCGTAGACAAGAGAGTACTTCCCACGCGATATAAATCTCACTACTTCAAACTTCCTAGCCTCCATAACGCTGACTCAATCACAGACGCCTTGTTCTTGTGTCCGTTCACTGAATGCCATGACTACGCCAATGCATTAAGTACATCTCCTGAACCAATCGAATGAGAGGTCGCGTTTGATTGGCTTGCGACTACTGGAAGTTATCCACAGTAGTGCGCCAACATTTGCATCCACAGACGGCTTGTTGACCACGTATTAAGCCTCTCCTTCTACGCATTCCAATGGATTATCAACATCTGCTACGTCGTGTTTGCTACAGTGACGAAATCATTAGTGCAGTTGTACGAGTTGTTGCGTCTCCAGGTTATCTGCAGCGAAAGCATGCTTTGTATGAATGGTTGGGTGCATTTGCCACCTGTCAT